CGGTGGCGCAGCGGTTGAGCGCTGGGCTGCAAAGCTGCCCGCAGCCTCTGTAGCAGTGGTTTGATCCCTGGCCGCCGGCAAGGGTCCCACATGGCATGGCAGACCTCTCCTGCCACGCCCGCTGCTCCCCTCAGCAGTGTATTTCGTCAGTCTGCCTGTTCTGTTCCCCACTCTGGCTCTGGTGAATCCTCTCACCCTCCCACGCTTCTGACTGTACCCAGTGCTTGTATAAATAAATAAATAAATCCTTTTTTAAAAAAGTATCTTTCTAAAAAAAAAACACATAAACTGGGCCTCCCCAGTGGCCCAGTGGTTAAGCGCTGGGTTGCGAAGCTGCCCGCGGCCTCTGTGGTGCCAGTTCGATCCCCGGCTGCTCCCCAGCCACCAGAGGAGGGTCCCACATGGTGCGCAGACCTCTCCTGCCGCCCGCTGCTCCCCTCAGCAGTGTACTTCGGTCCTTCTGCCTGCTCTGCTCCCCGCTCTGGCGAATTCTCTCACCCTCCCGCGCTTCTGACTGTACCCAGTGCATGTATAAACAAAACAAACAAACAAACAAATAAATAAAACATGCCTCTATTAAAAAAAAAATTAAACACACATAAACAAATGTATACACTTATATGCACTTTTTTGTATACTTATATGTCATCAGTGACTGCAGTATAAGGTAGTTTATCTCTATCCCACATTGGAATTATTAGCAAACATCACGTGTTTAATTGACTTACCAATATTGACTATGCACCTCAAATATCAAATGGTACTAAGCAGAAGAAATATAAAGATTAATACATCAGTGGCTCTCAAATAGCTATGATCTGGTGTTAAGATAAACATATTAAGAGATTAAAGTTAATATGTTACACAACTATTTGAATTGGATCTTTATAAAAGAAACCCCCAAATAATAATAGTGAAGGCACTATTATTATTATTAGGGGTCTGGAGTTGGACCTGCTAAGTAAGTCCATTTCTGCTTTCCTATATATTTTTCTCTGTCATTAATGATAGTTCAATTTTTAATTAATCTAACAATTAATGTAAAATTTTAATTTTTAATCTAACATCTACTCAAGAGCAACAGATTGAGACTTGTCTACAATTTCCTGATCAAACTTCAAACTGTTTCCACTTGGGCCAAAATAAGAACATTTTATCTGCTGATAAAATACTCCACATTTTAAACATAATTGAGCGAGAATATTCTGGCATCTGAAAAAGGAATTGATACAGAGTGGGGGGAAAAAACAGTTGTGTCAGATATTTGTCTTTTCAATTCTGAAGTTGAAACATAGTCAGATCTGACTTGGTTCATGCCTGGGATCCATAAACCCACATAGTGAGCACTCACTCGGTGGTCTGGTCAGCTCAGCCCTAAAGCATGTCACCTTCTGTTAAGCTCTTCCTGATCGCACTGTTACTTTGGAGCTGGAAAGCTGTATTGTTCTTTTCTAAAATGGCTTTGGAACTGTAAGAAATCTTCAAAATCGGAGATATATTCATGATTATCTTCTTTTTGACTCCTTTAGAGACATCAAAACCCTTTAAAATTTTGCCAGAGAAACTTAAACTATGAGAAACCTGAAATTCCTTTAAGATGCAAACCTAGTCAAGTCTGAGACATCCAAGAGTGTGAATTCCCATGCCCTTGGTCCACCTGACCCTTCCACAGAGCTCAGTCTCTTATAAGGTCAGGGTGATTTCTCTTCTTTTTTTTTTTAAGATTTTTTTTTATATTCCCCATACAGTTGCACCCACCTTATTTTGATCCCAATCCCTCCTCTCCCCGCCCCCCCATAGTGTGTCTGTAGTTTATAGTTGCTTGTTGATTTTGATTTTTTCTTTATTATAGTTATTCTTTTTCCTGGTCCCTTATTTAGGTTTTCTAAATTCCTGCTATGAGTGAGACCATCCGGTATTTTTCTTTTTCTTTCTGGCTTATTTCACTGAGCATGATCTCTTCCAGCTCCATGTTGCTGCAAATGGCATGAGTTTATCTTTTTTGATTGCTGAATAATATTCCATTGTGTATATATAAGGGTGATCTCTTTTCTACCACAAACAACAGCAGTAGTCAGTGATCCTTTGGATACTGCATAAATGATTACTACATGTCTTCTCAAAGGTATCAGCTCTACCGAGGCAATCAGGTAGTTTGGTCTTCTCATATTTGGTGACTAATTTTTTTTTTTTTTTGCCAACTTTAGTTTTTGCTTACTTTATAATTAGCTAAGGCAGGAGGATAAGATGGAGTGGGCCCACGGCAGCACCTTCCCTTTGCCTGGTTTACTCTGTCTCCTCCTTATCTCAGCTTAAGAGTCTTCCCCAGGAAAAGCTTCTCTGACCTCTCTAATCAAGTCAGATTCCCCACATGGTATGCTATCAAAGCACTGCATGTCTGTGTTTTATACCTTTTATCCTGATTGCTATTTCACAATCACTGTATGATGATTGGAGCTGCTGCAACCAGGGTGGGCCTCTCTGGACTTAAACTCATAGAGGAGTTTTTACAGTCTGGCCCATAGCAGATCTTAAATTACTGTTGACTGAATGATTCAATAATTTTGTGAGTGGAGATGAGTTTCCTTCACACTCATTTCACACTGTGCTCAGAATCTGGTAATGAAAGAGTTGTTCAGTTCATGTGGGGGTTCATCTACACAGGGCAATTAAAAATAGGTCAATATTTTTATTTTTGTTAAAATGTATGGGATTTTTTGTTTTGTTTTTGCTTCCTTTGATGAAACTTTTTTTTTATTTTCTTACATTGTTCATTTTTGTACAATATTTGATTTCTCCACTAAGTTGTAATCCCCATAAATCTCCCACCACTGCATTATCTGTGAACCATCACCATAGTCCATTGTGCTCTTCCTGCTTCTATTCTGACCCATTCCCTCCCCTGCTGTATGTATTCTGCTCCTATTCCCTCCCCTGCTGTATGCCTCAAAACTATAGTTTCCTGCAAGTTTTGTCTTTTTTCTTTGATCCTTTGTTCAGTTTTGCTATATTCCTCCTATTTCCTGAGCATATCCCTTATAGCTCCGTCCATGTTGCTGCGAATGGCTTGAATTGATCATTTCTGATTGCTGAGTAGTATTCCATTTATACAGGACAATTTTTAAATGTTACAGTGACTACACCTGATGGGGGAGGGGTAGTTCTATATTTCTAAATGTCAACAATAATTTAAATCAACATTACCTTAATAAAAAAATAGTAATAATTGCACCACAGTTACATAGAGGCACATCAAGGAAGACTTTTTTTTTTTTTTTAAGATTTATTTATACAAGCATTGGGTACAGTCAGAAGCGTGGGAGGGTGAGAGGATTCACCAGAGCCAGAGCGGGGAACAGAACAGGCAGAACAATGAAATACACTGCTGAGGGGAGCAGCGGGCAGCAGGAGAGGTCTGCGCGCCATGTGGGACCCTTGCCCGGTTGCCGGAGATCAAACCAGCCCTGCAGAGGCTGTGGGCAGGTTCGCAGCCCAGCGCTCAACCCCTGTACCACCGGGGAGGCCCCATCAAGGAAGTCTTAAGCCAGTACTTGCTTGGCTCTGACTGCATGAAATGTGGCTGAATTCTGAAGTAGCCTCCCTGCAGCCTCCAAACATGTTGTGGGGAATTGCAGCTTGATTGCATTGAACTCCTAAAGACTGAGCTGACACAGGTTCGTTCCCAGGCTAAGACTTAGACACTCTAATTTCCTCATATCCTTGCACTTCAGAAAATGTGTAACTGTTGAAGGAGTCATTGTTTTTGTCATCTGTTTTAGAAAATGCTTGGATGCTTTTAGTGAAAACATGCACATTGCCACATTTAAAAAATACAGCACAGATATAATATTAAGTAGTTGTATTTTTCAAACCTTTGTCTGAACATATGTTTGCAATTATTAATTAAAGATTCGAAGAGGAAAACCAAACCTCAAAGATGTATATTAGCAACCATTTTTCTTGAAAGACAGGACAAATTTTGGGGACTTTGTGGAGACAGGCATGTTCAAATGTTCCTACAGTTTTATTTTACAGTTTTATTTTTTCAGTGACAGTGATTGAAATCATTTGGGAATGGAATAAATCTTTTGCTATTAGATGTAATTGGAACTGTGGCAGTACAACCTGGTACAATTTGGATTCTTTTTTTTTACTTGAACAATGGAAAGGAGAGATGAAAGGTACAAATAAGTTTATCCATACATTCATTTAATAGTCTTGTGACTTCAGGTCTGATTTAGAGTAAGAATAAATGTTTTATTAGCTGCATTCAGAACTCAGCTACTTATTAGCTAAGTGATCCTGGCAGGATTCATGTCCTTAGCTATGAAAATGGGGATATTGTACAGGATTGTTTTGAAAATTAATGAGATATTTGTACTGCACCTGGTACAGGGCAGGGCCAGGCAAACCATGGAGCCTCAATGTCAGTTATCTTTGTCACTCTCCATGCCAACACCCCTCTCCCACCTCACACATATACACAGACCTTGCTTCTGTTGGCTTATTCTGTTTCTCTTTTCTTGGTTGAAATGCTAGCTAGCTATTAAAGGAAGTGTTTTCATTATCATCCAGCAAATATTTATTGAGGGCTTACAATTCACCAAGCACTGTTCTGGTTGCTTGGAATACATCAGTGAACCCAAGATATAAAAGCTCTACCCTTCTGTTCCCTCCTACCCTTCTGTTCCCTCTTCCTCTTTACTCTATCACTCTTTCTCCTCATTCTTCTTATCTGTATTGGTTCCCTCCCTCTACTTTTCTCTCTTCTACCCTTCTTTCTGTGTGTTGATTTGAACCAAAAAAACATCTTTAGCCATGCTGTGTTTTCCTTCCATGGTTTGATTTCTATCCCAACTGAATTTAGTCCCCTTTTACGGGAAGCATATTTTATGCCTCCTGGAGGGTGGAGGAAGGGTCACTTGGTGGTGATGGACCTCGTGGTGGAGCCCTCCATCAGTGGGCACCTGGTTGAATCACACATCTCTCTTTCTTGTTAGATTGTTGGCTGCGATCATCAGCTGGGAAGCACTGTCAAGGAAGATAACTGTGGAGTCTGCAGTGGCGACGGGTCCACCTGCCGGCTGGTTCGAGGACAGTATAAGGCCCAGCTCTCAGCAACAAAATGTAAGATGCTACAGAGTTGGGGCAATCTCTGGGCTTGCTGACTTGTTACTGTTCTTTGCTCAGCTCTGGTCCCTCTCAGCAGCTCAGAATAACATCTCCACCAAAAGGAGGACAGATCTGAAAATGTACCACAGGGAGTTTTCTGTTTCTGCTTTGTGAATTACTTTAAGTGGAACAAGTCAGAACATAAGTTGCAGTTCCACAGAGAGAGCCTTTTCCTTTGAGAAGCAGTAGGAGTGAATTAAAATGGATTATACTATCCATGCAAATAGGAGCTTTGCTGCCCAACATGAGAACAGCTGGCAGCCCTAACCCCTATCTGACCTACTTTGGTACACCTAGTAGAATATGGCAGGGTAAGTGAGCACATCAGAACAAATGCACTCCTTCTACTGGGTAATCACATGGTCTTTATTTACAAAGTGACCTTTGATCTGTGCTGATGACAGTGTTTTCTGAGTTCATATTAGACAGTGATTGAGTCACACCATTTATTAGCATTTGTGTCCTAATCTCTCTACTCCAGCATGGTAAATTTCAGGCATTTGATATACATGAGTGTGATTGGGAATTTTATATGATCATTTCATTTAATCCGTTTAGTAACCTTATAGCCCAGTACTGTTTATCCCCATGTTATGAATGACATAACTGAAGCTTAGGCAGATTATGAACTTGTTCAGTCACACATCTATAAAGCAGGAGAGCCAGGATTTGAGCCCAGAATCTTATTCCAGATCCTAAACACTTACTCATTCTTTGGACAGTCCCACAACCCTGTTGGCTGTTTCAGTGGTAGGACATTTGTAAAGCAGATAGATGGATCAAGCAGAGCAGCTCAGATGTCTGCTCAGATGTCCTGCCTGCTAGTACATAGTCTACGTTCTTGTGATACCTAAACCAACCTGAATGACACAGCCATCCAGGACATTTTACAATACACTGTCTTCTGTTACAATTACTGTTCTAGATGCAACAGCAGAATTTTAGAATAATTTGATCTTGCTCAGATATTGTTTCTAGATTTTGCCATTATCCATAATTCTTTAATAGATCTGTGATTGCTTCTTTCAACATGTCCTCCTGGATTGGGAAGTGAGAATGAATATCTATTTTACATAGTGTCATTCTGTCCTCATCATTTGTTGACTAGCTGCAGAAAAACAATTGGCATATGGGAAATGAGGGCTGGGGCTTTAAATGGATCTGTAGGTCAAGAGGAAAGACAGTGTGTACTGATGAATTATTCTAAGAAGTCAGGGAAATGCAATTTGGCAAAAGGGCTAGACCCTCAGGAAGAGGAGGGGATGGGAAGAAAGAGGAGGGACTTTTAAAAAACAAAAAAAAGATGATGCATACAAGAGCTGGGGTACAGGCCAGAGATGAGGGGGGTGACAGGATTCACCAGAAACAGAGTGGGGAACAGGCTGACTGAAATACACTGCTGAGGGGAGCAGCAGGTGAGACAGGAGGGGTCTTCTTTGCCATGCGGGTTGCTCCCTGCCCAGCTGGGGATCAAACTCATGCTGCAGAGGTTGTGGATTGCTTCATAGTGCAATGTTTAACCCCTTGCGCCACCAGGGAGGCCCAAGACAAGGGACTTTTAAACATATGAAACGTTGGAGGTGCTAACTTAGGGTGCTCCCAACATCCTGACACCCCTCCAGTCAGTGAATGTGATTCTAAAAAAGGGGGAAAGAAAGGCTCTAGCAGAGAGAATGAAGGATGAGGCAAAGGTAGACATTGATATAGTACATTCCGGTAAGATATTAGTTGTCACATAGCTTCAGCGTAAGATGAAAAATTAAAGAAATTAGGAGATGGAAACCAGAGACGGAGGCATAATTCTTTTGTAAATCTCTAAATTCAGGGTGAGATTTTTTTAAAAAAGAAAGTTACATTTGAAAGATAACTTTAGTAAAACTCTTGAAGAAAAACTAAAAGAGTTAAAATCTTTCTAATTATTTGTGTCCATAGTCGAATGAGTGCCAGTTCCCTAGGAACCTAGGAATTTCTGTCGGGCTAAAAAAGAGATGGCATGCATTTGTGAAGTAGCTGTTATACAACATATGAGCGCAAGGTTTTCATGACAGGAATCCTTCCTTTATTCCTTCTAATGTCCCCTAACTCATAGAGGATCCTCAACATTCTGCTCAAATAGCTAGTCCTCTTACACTCATATTAGGGGCTGTCAGTGTCCTTTCAAGCCAGAATCACTGGAATATGATAGAGAAGCTCTGAAGGGACAGACAAGCAAATTGAGAGCCATAAGTCATCTCCAGGTCTGCCACTAGAGACCTCAATGAAATGTGCTCTATCAAGACTGATAGTAGGTAAATTATATGATACACAACCTGATGATTATCCGTAATGACAAAATGCAATTGATTCATTTACCTTAGCGCTGACGATGCCTCATGACAAAATGATTTATATCAGTGAAGCCCAGTAAATGCAGGTACCTCACCACAATCCATAGCAGATGCTGAACAAACTGCCCTATTTATGTTTTCTCCACCTCAGAGGAAACTTCCACCTTGTATTTACAGACTGTGAGGTGACCCACAGGCAGGGAAGATTAGGCTGCTTTGCAGGGTCCAGTATCCTGGCCAGGTGAGGTTCTCTCCACCCCTGAAGGCCTGGGGGAGTCCTGCCAGGCCTCCGAGCTCTGCCAAGAGCTCAGTAAGCCAGTCCCAGGCTCTTTTCGAACGCCTAGCACTCGGATTCCCCACATTGAACTCATTTTCTTTCTGAACTTATATCCAAGTTTTTTCCCTAATGTTATCAAGCCTCCGGGGAACAAAGGAAAAACAGGAGAGTGGAGAAAGACCATGGTGGAAAGTTCCAGAAAGACAAAAAAAAAGGAAAGGAACTTGTCAAATAAATGCCATTTGCTGGCAAATTAAAAAGCAACTGCCTTTGTATTAAAAGATGTTTCAGTTCCCCAATACAAATGCAGACCAGGGAAGCAGTGCTACATCAAAGAACCCTTTGCCCCTTTCATGAGGCAAAGGCATTGTGTGCCCTTTAGTGTTCTTTCTATTCTTATTACTAATTTTCTACTTCAGCCCATTGAAAGGAATCTAATAAAGTTAATAATCACTTGCTTTTGATTCTTTAAGGACTGATTTTCTCACAAATGTTATTACCTTATACCTTACTATGTATTTTTCAAGTGTACTCAGAATATACTTAGACCTAGAGCCAGTCTGTTTGCTATCAATTTGATATCTCCAGCTTTGCAAACCTTTCATATCTATCTGTATGTTTTAAAATCATCTAGTATCCTAAAATTCTCTCCTATCTGCCTTAAGTATCAAGGGCCAGATAAGCTAATCTGCAAAGATAAAATGAAGTTCCTAATAGCTGGCTGTGCTGCTGAGACTGCAGCTTATGCTGATTTATAATGACTGTGGGTAAATATATTATGGGACTATCATTCTGGCTCAGGGATTTCAAGGCAAAGTGTCTTAGAATAAATTACAGGACTATATGCTACAAAGTGAAACAGGAATTTTTTTAAGCACAGAACTTTAAAGAAACTTCTACCTTGTGCCTGACTTCAGGCTATATTCATAAGCCATTCATTCATTCATTCACACAGCCACATTCACCCATTCATTTACCCAACAAGAATTATTTCTTGGGTAACCGCTATGTGCTGAAGAACTGTTTTATGTGCTGGGAACACAGAAAACAGCAAAACGAACAAAATACATTTTTCTCATGGAGATCACATACAAGTATGAAGGAAAAACAGATAAACAGACAAAATGTAAAATTTCTACAGGTCATATGGTCATATTGCTCACAGAAAAATGTGAGTCAGGGAAGAAGAACAGGAAATGGAAATATGCCTCCTGCCAAAGGTATTGAAGGGGACTTGTAATTCACTTAGTGAGAGAAGGGCTCACCTATATGATGGCATTTAGCTAAGGGTCTTGGGGTATCACACAAAAGTCAGGGTAAAGAGAACTTCCAGCATAGAGAAAACCAAGCACAAAGTCCCTGAGGCAGATGTGTACTGACTTAGTTCGTAAAGCACAAAGAAACTAGTGTGATTGAAGTGAGCTTAAAGAAGACTGGGAAATGATGCAACCCAAATGCCAAAAAACAGATGGCTAGATCAAGAAGTTGTGGTATACATGCACAATGGAATACTATTCAGCAATCAAAAAAGATAAACTTGTGCCATTCACAGCAACTTGGATGGCACTCGAAGGGATTATGCTCAGTGAAATAAAGCCAGAAGGAAAAAGAAAAATATTAGATGGTTTCACATATAGGAGGAATATAGGAGAACAAAATAAGGGATCAGAAAAAAATAACAATAATACGTAAATCAATAAAATTAGCAGACACCTATAAATCAGAGACATTCTGCAAGGGAGGGGGAGGCATTAGGATCAAAACAGGGGATGGAAGAGCACAAGGGACTATGGTGATGGTTCACGAGTGAATTGGTGGGTATTTTATGGGGACTACACCTGAGAGGAGAAAGCATACATTGTACGCAAATGAACAAGGATGTAAAATATATCTATATAAATAAATAGTAAAAGAAAAATATATACACATATATAAAAAGTCTGGAAAATGATGAAAACAGAAATGTTGTGGGGGGTAAAGGATGGCACAAACATTGTAAGATTTTGTAAAGACTTTGACTTTTAGTCTGAATAAAATGAGAAGTCACTGGAAGATTTTGAGCAGAAAAAAGTCTTGATTTGGTTTATTTTTTAAATGGCTCACTATGTTGAGTAGATACTCCAGTGGATCCACCAATGGATAAGAAAAGCAGGGTTAGGGACAATGAAGGCTGAGACCCTGGTTGTAGAGCTTACAGATAATGAGAAGTGTCTGTATTCTGTATATACTGCATTTCTTTGAATCTAAGACATCGCTGAAAGATGTGTCATCATTTTAGGTACCACTAAGATAAGGAAAAAAGCTGCCATTGAAATTAAGAGACTATGACTCAAAGCCACCTGATAACTTTGGGATTTTATGTGATAGCTCTTAATAGATCTATTTAGATTCAGATTCTCTTTATTAGTTAATTCACAATACTCTTATGCATATTGAAAAGAAAACTAACACTTGATAATTAAACATTTTCTCCAATTTCAACTTCTTTTTGAACTCTGGATTTAGTCAATTTCCACATGTCATCAAGGTTCTTGTGATACTGCATTTTAAAAGAATCCACAAAAGAAACAAAATACATTGATACTGGGTTCTTTTTTCCAGCTTTATTGAGGTATACATAGCATACATGAAACTGGGTATTTAAAGAAACTGGATATTCAAATAGTTTTGAGATACACATCCACCTGTGAAACCACGGTTAAGATCATGAACACATTCATCATCCCAGATGTTTTATTCTGCTCTTTATAATCATACCCTCCTCCTTCCCACTGTCTGTGTCCCCTGACAACCCTGGTCATCTTTCTGTCACTATGGATTATATTGTAATTTATAGAATTATGAATAGAATTATGTAACTATAAAACCTTTTCCATCTGGTTTCTTCCAGTTATCATCATTATTTTGAGATTCGTTAATGCCAAAGCTTGTCCATTTGATGTTGTTATTTTTTGCTGAGTGGTAATTCCATTGTATGAAAATACCAGTTTGTTTATCCATTCACCTGCTGATGGCCACTGGCATTGCTTCCACTTTGGAGCTCTTGTAAATAAAGCTATATGCATGTATTTGTATAGTCATGCTTTCATTTCAATTGGGTGAATTCCTAAGAGAATTTGTGGTTCATAGGGGTGTGTGTGTATATGTGTGTGTGTGTGTGTATGTGTGTGTGTGTATCATCTTAAGAAAATGCCAGACTTTTCAGAGTGGCTTAATATTTTGCATGTCCACCATCCACATTTGAAAGTTTCACTTGCCCCACATTCTTGTCATCACTTGATATTGTATTTCTATTTTCGCCACTCAAACTGGTGTGTATATTAGCTCATCATTGTTTTAATTTGCATTTCCTTAATGGCTAGTAATGTTGAATAGCTTCTGATGTAATTGTTTCCAGTTGCTGCTGTAATAACTATGACACATTTAATGACTTAAAGTAACACAAACTTACTATTTTATACTTTCAGATGCTCAGAGGTCTGAAATAGGTCTTCCTAGGTTAAAATCAAGGTACAAGATGTGATCAGGTGCCTTCAGGGTAGTGCAGCCTTTTCAATTTGTAAACAATTTGTTTTATGCCAGCAAGAATGCCCAACACAATGCTGAACAAAAATTTTGAGAGTAGATATCCTCAACTTATTCCCAAACTTAAAGGGGAAATCATTCCCTGTCTCACCATTGAGTATGATGTTAGCTATAGGTTTCTTGCAGAATCTCTTAATCATATTGCGGAAGCTCTCTTCTGTCCCCAGTTGGTTGAATGTTACTGTCCTAAATAGACAGTGAATTTTGTCATGCTTTTTCTGCCCCAGTTGATTTGATCATGTGTTTTTTATTCCTTCGACTTTTACTGTGATGAATAACATTGCTTTTCAAATAATGAATCTGTCCTGCTTTTCCTTGGATAAAGTCTAGCTGATCAAGGTGTATTATTCTTCAAATAGATTACTGGATTTGATTTGCCAGTATTTTGTTTGAGGGCTTTCCATGTCTATGTTCATGAGTGATTGTTGTTGGTGTATCCTTTTCTTACACTGTCCTTGTGTGGTTTGGTATCAGCCCACCTCATTCAATAAGTTGGGATATGAGCCTTTCTCTTTTGTTTTCTGGAAGAAATTATATAGAATTGATATTACTTCTTTAAATGCTTGGTAGCTCTCACCAGACAAAGTTTCTTGGCCTAAAGATTTCTTTTTTGGCCCTTAACTTCTTGAACATACGGGATACAGTTACAGTGCTACTTTCATGTCTAGTCTGTGTTTTATTGATTATTTGATTTTTCCTTTCAGTGTAGCCTGTATTTTTTGGGTTTCTTGATGTCCCTGATAATTTTCTACGTAACTCTAGACATTACAGATTTTTTCATGATGGATACTAGATACAGTTGTATATCTATAAATATAATTGGCCCTTGAACAACACTAGGGTTAGGTGTACCAAACTCCAGTGCAGTAAAAAATTCCACATGTGGCTCTGACTTCCCCTCAAGCATAGCTGCAGTCATTCCTGGGTACCCACGGGGAATTGATTTCAGAAGCTCCCTCAAATACCTAAATCAGTGGGTACTCAAGTCTATTTTTGTAGACTTTCCACATCCACAGACTTACTTAAAATATATTCTGAGATGGAGCAGCTGACGTGACCTGATGACACTTCATAAGTTTCTCTGGGTAAACAGTGGCGAGATGCTGGGTTCAATAGAGTAGGATGGATTTCTTTGGTTCAGGGTTTCTAAGAAATGAATTAATATGTTTTGGGAATTTTCATAAGCAGGATAGAGGGTGGAATATTCTCCACAAATTCCTTCTTAGGTCTCATTTTCAAGAACTATCTTCTTGGACTGGTGCTTTGTTTATCTTTGTCATTAAATCTAACTTGGAGCCTGACACTAGGAGACATTCAAAAAATAATGGTGGGGCCTCCCCTGGTGGCACAGCGGTTGAGCGCTGGGCTACAAAGCTGCCCGCAGTCTCTGAAGCACCAGTTCGATCCCCAGCCACCGGCGAGGGTCCCACATGGTGCGCAGACCTCTCCTACCGCCCGCTGCTCCCCTCAGCCGTGTATTTCATCGGTCTGCCTGTTCTGTTCCCCGCTCTGGCTCTGGTGAATTCTCTCACCCTCCTGCTCTTCTGACTGTACCCAGTGCTTGTATAAATAAGTAAATAAATCTTCAAAATAAATAAATAAAAATTAAAAATATATATAAAAATTAAAAAAATAATGGTGAAGAAAGAAACTGTAGACTGCCCAATTTCCTGCCGATTATCTGTTAACCCTTTAGAGAACCATAGGTAAACAAGCTGTGACTTCTGCCTCTCTTGCTACACGCTGCTGACCAAGTCTGCAAAAGCCTGCACAAGCCTGAGATGCTCCATATTCTCTGACTGGGCAAGTGCAGAGGGGCAACTGGAGACGGTCCATTCTTGACTGGTCTACTCTCTCCATCCTGCCTCCCAACAAATTTTTGCTTCCTCCCCATCGTCCTAGGAGCTTATGAAGGTTGCTGCATCAGCCAGAAGCTAGGGAATTTGAGTCAGCAGCTCATGGCATTTGAGTCACTTCAGAACAAAAAGGAGGCTGCCTGAGCAATGTGTGAGGCAGGAGACAGCCACTAAGCACTGCAGGGCCAGACAGAAAGCTTCCCTTTTACTTGCACTTTACTTGACCCGTAGATAAACAATAAAGACTTTCTATTTCTAGAAATCCCATTGTTTTAACTGCTTTGAGTTTCTTTTGTAAACATAAAAATCCATCTCTTTATGCAAGGCATTTAAAGCTCTATGGCCAGTCTGAACTTTTTTTGTTCCTTTCCTATGTTCCCCTGCTGAATTGTGTTCTTATATGACACACATTCTTAGCTATCTGAAATTCAGCCTTTCCTCATTAATGGAAGACAGTGAGAAGGTTGTAGTGTGCATAGAATATTCAATATTGTTGAGAACTTGAGAAATCTAACCTTTTTAGAGAAGGAATTGAGAGCATATGATCCTTCTTTCACATTCAGCTGACTATGTGGTAGACACCTTGAAGCACTGAAAAGCAAACACTCGGGCCTCCCTGGTGGTGCAGCGGTTTAGTGCTGGGCTGCGAAGCTGCCCGCAGCCTCCACAGCACTGGTTCGATTCCCAGCCATCTGGTGAGGGTCCCACATAGTGCATCAGACCTCTCCTGCCACGCCCGTTGCTCCCCTCAGCAGTGTATTTCACCAGTCTGCCTGTTCTGCTCCCCACTCTGGCTCTGGTGAATTCTCTCACCCTCCCACGCTTCTGACTGTACCCAGTGCTTATATAAATAAATAAATAAAATCTTTAAAAAAAAAAGAAAAACAAACACTCTTTCAGTTTTGTCCTTAAAGAGATTTGGACTAAAGGGAAGGAAAGTAATATTTACAAAATACTTCCTGCTTACCAGGTATACATCTGCATATTAACATTTGTATTTATATCTTTTCATAACATTATTAAGAGATATAACAATTGCCATTTTACAAATGAGGAAACTAAGGATCAGAGAAGTTGGTGAACTTCTGAAATTCATTAATTGAAATTCAATTTTCCCAAAGACAGGATGCTAAGTTAAAATTCAGAGAAAGTGACTATCTTTTGGGAATCTCTTATTGAAACTAAATTCCTCCAATGTTAGGGTGATAAAGTATAAGAAAGATATGTATAAGTAATTTTGTATTGGATTATGTGCTTTTAATACTTTTCTTTGTTTTTCTCCAGTGGATGACACCGTGGTTGCTATTCCTTATGGCAGTAGACATATTCGCCTGGTCTTGAAAGGACCTGATCACTTATGTAAGTATAACTTGTTTTTCTTTAGGGGTAAGGGGTTTTAGACATTATTATTTATTTTTTTGTTCCCAGAAGAGCTAAACTACAGAAGTACAAATCTTTCTACTCTATCATAATATGATATTTTGAGTGCTTCTGTTTATCCTTTCCCTGATGAGATAGCACAAACCAGCACAGTAATTATCTCTAACCATAGTCATTTTTAAAAAATAAAAAACAAATGTTTCCAATGAGTTAAGAACATTTTATGCTTTTGAGAACATTATTTCTCATTCTCTCCATTCAATCTTTTTTTTTTTTGCCCTTTCCTCTTCTTGTTTAATTCTTCCTACCAACCCTGCCTTCCTCTCCATTTTTTTCTCTTTTTCTTCCTATTCTCATGTTCCATTATTTTATCAATTAGGGAAACATGGAAATACCAAACAAATTTACCCCCGTGGCATTTAAAGGAGGCCCTTTTGGTCTAATTAAGCACCCCATATATTAAGGATAATACAAGTCAACAATATCTTGAAGATAGCTATTTGGGATGTAGGATTGAAGGGTAATCATAACCTCAAAAATCAAATGGTAGCATGCCCCACAGAATTTGTGCAAGAATTGATCTTCAGTCATACCGAGGCAGCAGTATACAGCCCATCTTTTTCAGTATTTTTAAGGGCTATTTAGATGTAGACCTGTAAATTATAAGCATGAAATTATAGAATGGCAACCAGGGAAGGCAATAGGAGAGCGTAGGCTAGTATTCTCTAAAAAATTAAGTTTCACTAAAAGATTTCACTTCAGTTGGCCCCTTGAGCATCTTTGATCCCCACTCTGTGATTGCTCCTGGGTTCCTAAAGAGGTATCTATCATTTTCTGTTCTTTCTCCCCTCCCACACACATGCCTATGAAACCAGTTTAAGTAGCTAGCATTATCTCTGGGCAATTAGATTATGAGTGAAATCATTTTAGAAAGACAAACAAGAAGACAAATTGAAGTCACGTAACTAAACGTTCACATAGCCTACTGTAGTGTTTCTAAACGTAAAAATACATTTCATTGGAGAGGTGGGATTTGAAGGGTCATGTGAAGTAAAGGATTAAGTAAGGCACAGCTCATGCAAAGCCAAAATACTCCCAATTCACCTTATATGGATCCAAGTTCTTTTCAAACCATAAACAACAACCCTCCAAAATACAGTGTTCACATGCCAAAAAATGATATATGTGTGTACACTATTACCATTCAAATGATTTGTTTATCCCCTTGAGAATTTGACATAGGTAACTGCCAGTATAATAACCCCTCTCAGAAACAGTATTTTTCTGAATTGTGACAGGCTAAAACATAACATTCAAGCCAAGATCATTACCAAGTGGGGAACTGACTCATTATTAAAGAAAAAAAAAACTGAACAAATAAACTTAAGAGGAAATAGATTTGTATAAATGTAGAAACCTCCCAGATTTAGGTGATCATGAAAAAGCTGAAAGTTGGCATTGTTTAATTATCTCAAGAAGTTGATAGGCAGAGCTGCAAATGATATTCGGAAATGTCAAAAAGCAAAATTGAATCTGCTGTTTTCCCCCAACAGACATATTGTTCATAACATGTTATTTGTTTGTATTTGGAATATAACTCAGCAATGAATGTGTGAATAAATGCTGTCCTGTTTCTCTTGCACTCCTTTTGCCCTTCATTCCAGAAACTGGTTCAATATGGAACCAACTTTAAATATTTAGGGCACAAGAGAACAAGGAGAAGCAATCCGGGCGAGCCTCAGCTCATCTTTAATTAGATGTGTATAACTTAAGAAGGACAGCTGGGAGACCTGGTGATAAAATTGAATCAGATGCTCAGAGCATGCTTAGCACCCCAGGATTTTTCTAAAACTAAGTTATTTTATGTCCTGGAAAGACTTCCACAAATTAGTACAAATGCATAAAAGACAGCTCAAGGAGTGAAGACTAACGCAAGACAACATAGGCTTTTTATTCTGATGTCAACAACTGTTATTTCCCCGCTTCCATATTCCCTTGATGGGCCATACAAGATTCTACAAAGTTCTCTCTGCACTAGGATGGGAGAGGGAAGTTAGCCTCTTCCCAAAGAAGTTTCTACACAGACTCCATCTGAGGGTCAAGGGCATATAAATGGACATTAACATTTCACAACTGTTCATATTCCTGGGCTAGAGAACTTGGAATAAATTATATTTTTAATAATTTAGAACAAATGTTTAGGTACTGAGTACCCCCAGTGTCCATACATTTGTCCTTAATCCATATCACAGGGGAGTCATTCTGATTGAATTTGGGTTTGGAGTCGAAGAACCCAACCCAAGCACCCCATCTCTCTGCTAAAGAACTAATGACAAAACAAGGGTGCTCATGCAAGTTCTGAAAACTTGTTAAACTTTTTCTATCTGCCTTCATGCAGAGGGCAGTTATTCTAAATTCACCTCCCCATCACTTAAAAACATAATCTTCTCTGAACTACACATCATAATTACCATCATCCCCAGCTTGCTGTAATTTCCTACAACAAAAGTTGCCTGATAGCTTCTGATATTGACCAAATTCAGATTGGAATGTTCTAGTAATGAAACCATTCTTTCTATCTTAAGTATTTTAAGAAATATGTGTACACAATGCTTAGTTAAGTACCAAAAATGATTTTTAAAAGAAAGCAAGCTGAAAAAAGTGTTCTTAGTTCTCTGTCCTTAGGTCCCTATAGCTTCTTTATTGTGAGCAAGAGTATATATATGCAATGAAGAACATAAATTATAAGTAATCACAGCGTAATGCACGAATAAAAAGTCACATTGATGCTAAAGGAATTCAGAGGTGCACCCTGGATCTCATAGAACATAAAGAAAAACCAGAGGATATCTAAACTGAGGTCCCTCAAAATATATATGGGAGATGGTTTATTAAGGGGAATAAGATTGTAGAAAGTGGCACCCCACTTTAACCAGATGCCCTCGTTAAGTCATTTGAGAGTCAAGATTTTTCTCACAGGCAAGCTTTAAACTTGGCTAATAGGTTTTATTTATTTTTTAGATTTATTTATTTATACAAGCACTGGGTACAGTCAGAAATGCGGGAGGGTGAGAGAATTCACCAGAGCCAAAGCAGAGAGCAGAACAGGCAGACTGACAAAATACACTGCTTAAGGGGAGCAGCGGGTGTGGCAGGAGAGGTCTGTTGCGCCATGTGGGACCTGAACCGGCGGCCGGGGATCAAACCGGCACTGCAGAGGCTGCAGGCAACTTCACAGCCCAGTGCTCAAACACTGCGCCACCAGGGGAGGCCCGCTAATAGGTTTTAAAAGCAATTTCATTTGCAGGAGAAACTCCTATGTAATGCAGAATATGTATATTTTGTTTCTATCACAATTTCAATTTTGTCAGGCATGTAAAAAATGATGCTTTAAGCTCTATGTGCCTCTCAACTATTCATTGCATTAAATGTGCTTGCTTGTGGTCTGTGGAGGCCTGAGAAACATCTCTCTCTCTGTTCTTCTTACATAGATCTGGAAACCAAAACCCTCCAGGGGGCAAAAGGTGAAAACAGTCTCAGCTCCACAGGCACCTTTCTTGTGGACAATTCTAGTGTGGACTTCCAGAAATTTCCTGACAAAGAGATACTGAGAATGGCTGGACCACTCACAGCAGATTTCATTGTCAAGGTGAGTACATTACAGTACCTGTTTTCAAGTCACATCCAAACTGGTATTACATACTATCTCTTGAAGAGAGAAAAAACTTCAATTTTTGACATAGATTTGGAAACCTTGCTATTCCTTTAAATGTTTAATTGAAGGGTGTGGAGCTTGATATAAAATATATTTGTGGAGGTGTTCTCTTATGCCCCTAAAATATATACAGTGTTGTAAAGTAATGTCACCTCAATAAACATAATTTTTTAAAAGGGCCTTGCGCTGCATTCTGGAATCCACAAGAACATGTGATATTTTTAAGGTCCTAGGAAGTACATGTATATGTGTACATATATATTTAGTATTTTAATAAGAGATACCCTGCTCAAAAAGTCAACATGTAAGTATTAGGGGATATAAACTATTTTTTTTAAACAAGCTAGGATGCTGTTGTTGACTTTTATAAGGGGTTCTTAGTTTAAAAAAGACAAACTGAAGATCTGTAGGCTTGGTCATGCTTCCTATCACAAGTTCTGTTTTCTCTTGTTCTGGCAACAAGACTAAGATGTTTCCTTCTATCGTAGCTTTCCTACTCTTCAAGGTAATATAAAACACATTGCTGGAAGCAACATACGTATTCTTTAGGAAAAATGTACATACTAGAAGAACATTTGGGAATCACAATAAAATAAAACATACTTTTTCCTTCAGTAGGTCAGAAGGACATGAAGGATTTCAGCTGTAAAGCTGTAAAACTTGTAATGTGTCCAGGACTCCATAAATTTTTCATCATGGGACCTGGAGCCAGAGGACATTTGATTTAAACTAAGGCTTGATGACCCCATGGCGGCTGGAAGTACAAATGCACGTAGGAAAATGTGATAGGTTGGATGGAAGAAGGGTTCCAGAATGCTGTCCTTTCTCCATCTACTTGGTAGCTCTTTTTAATCCAGACCAGACGCCAGCCACATGAATATGAGCAGTAAATGACAATCGGATATCTCATATTGAATTGAGTCAATAGGTAACTAAATAATTTCATTTAAACAAGCAAATGCATTTTAAAAATTGAGAAGTCTTTTTTTTTTAAACCCTTAGACTACTATTAAATAAACCATTTAAACTAATTTCCTTAGTGGACTTGCAAGAGTTAATACACATTCTGGGCCTTCCCGATGGCGCAGCAGGTTGAGCGCAGCGCTGTGAAGCTGTCCGCAGCCTCTGTAGCGCAGGTTCGATTCCCAGCCGTCCAGGGAGATTCCCACATCGCATGGCAGACCTCTCCTGTCTCGCCCGCTGCTCCCTCAGCAGTGCTTTCAGTCCGTCTGCCTGTTCTGCTCCCTGCTGTGTCTCTGGTGAATCCTCTCACCCTCCTGTGCCTCTGACCTGCACCCCGGTTCTTGTATAAAAATAAATCTTTAAAAAAAAAGACTTAATACACATTCTGAAAATACAGAACTGGATTCAAGTAGTAGTATTCACATTTGAACAGTTCACAGCATCATCGAATGTTATTTCATATATTCAGTTGCTTTCTGCACATTACCACTTGGAAGCTGTAAGCTAAATTTGCCTAGCCCCAGAAACTGCCTTGATCTTTTTTTCTTATCTGGTAGTGTAATACACTATCCTCCCAACCAAGTCAGAAACCTTTGTGTCAACCTGATGCCTTTCCTACATGCCCTGAAGCAGACATTAAACTTGGCTAGTTCCCCTCCATATCATCTCTCACGACTGTTCTTTCTTCTCCATCCTTGCTGCCACTGTGTTAGTATAGGTCTTTGTATTTTCTCGCTTAAACTGTTACCATGGACTCAGAATTAGTTTTGTAGCTTCAGATTCATTCTCTATATTGCCTTTAGGGTGAGTTTTCAAAAAGTACAACCCCCCTCGGTAATTTTGCATTGGCCCTCAACTCGTTGCTTTGCAGTTAAAATGCAAGTCTATAGCATAGCACCTTACTCTTGATGATCTGGATTCTCTTTACCTTTCTGATCTTGTTTTTCACTTTCCCCTCCTGTTTCAGTCAAATGAATGGTTTGCAGGTCTCCTAACATCTTGCCCCACCATAGCTCATTAACTTTGCATAATGCAACATCCTCTGTTTGCAGTGCTTTCATCATTACTTCCTGCATTCTTTTCTCTAATTCATGCTTGTTCTTCAGGATTTCCTTCTTCCAGAAGCATTTTGTGACTTGACCCCAAATTCCTGTTTATATTACATTTTCCAATGTGTGTTCCTTGTGGGCAGGGAGAGAATCTTATTTGTCTTCACAGCTCCAAAAAAGAAGCCAATAAGTACTAATAACTGCTGGCTGAATGCAGGATTTGTATATGTGGCAATTGCTCAAGTATAATAGATGCTGACATTTTCATTTTACCTCTGAGGAAACAGCCACCAGGGAGCTGGGAGACAGGCTCAAGCTCACATAGAAAAATCAGGACCAAAAAAAAAAAAATCTCTGGTTCTGACCCAGAATTCTTTGAAGTATGCGGTGTTTCTAAGGATTTCATTTTATGTATGACTATACATGTATAAGGAAATTAGAGTTTAAAAGAGTTTTGATACTGCCTAGATCCCTAGCATTCATAAATATCATCCCTCAACAATGGGCTGAGCTGTCATGTTAGTGTTGGCTGCATTAGATATCCTGTTTGATGACCTAGCTTTAGGTGGCAAAACAAAGTCAGGGTTTTATTAGAAAACATCATGAATCAAGTAAATGTAAAGTTATCCTATGGTAGAGTTTATAATTTTTAAAACTAGTTTATTAAACTTGAAAATAAGCCAGGTAATTTAATAATGTATAGGAAAAAAAAGAAAACATTTTCCAGTGAATCTGTTTTTTTATTTTTCCCAGGAAATAGCTGAAAATTAAGGATCACTGATTATTTGTCATCTTTTGTGACTTACGGGATTAGAAATTATATAGTTTGTAATGTTGTTTTCAGTATTGTTCAAAGTATAATCTCTTTTGCATTACACATTAATTTAAGCAATAGCTTCCATTATGAAGGAGATATACTGGAATCAGAATGGTCATTTGTCCATATTGCCATAGCAATTTATTGCCAAAATATAATTTTTGTTTATTTAAGAGGAAAAAGACATTTTTTTGCACCAAAGGAAGATTTTTCTCACAAAATAAAGTTTAGAAACAAACGTAAAAGGAAGGTTGAAATTGATCCTGGATGAGGGTTGTTTTGTAATAAACACTGTCTCTTTTTTATGAATTTTATCAGCATTTTGTAGAAATGATCAGTCATGATATCAACAAGAAAACTAGCTGGTATAAATGACAACTCTTGCAAGAATTTGTCATGAACTATGGTTTGCAATTCCAAAAGTACTTCAAAGGCCCATGATCAGCACATAATTTATTTGTTGTTCCTTCATGCACTCATTTACTCAGCAAGTGTCTGGACTCCTACTGTGTGTCAAACATTGTCTGTGATGCTGAAGTGTGGTGAGCAAAATAAATGGTACTTGTTTTCATGGATTTATGGAAGGCAAAGGCAATAAATAACATCTATATCAATGAACACATATACTAAAATATGTTTATAATTTCTTGAGATTCTCAAGATGTTGATGAATTATATCACCATCAACCCCCAGAACAGCCCACAATCGAGCATAATGGACTAAGTCACTTAATCAACAGATCCACCTGTTTTCCATTTTATTCCCTACCTAGCAGGGAAAGTGACTTATTTCTACCTCTTCTCTGTCCTCCAACATCATCCGCATATTATATCCCTAGCTGCCCTGAAAGTGTCTGACCTCCTGGAATATCACTGTGGGTCCTGGCACAGAGGCTCACAGTGGAGGGTCTCCACAACTCCATTTTGTCCACCTCTTCTCAGGCCAGATCAATAACTCATCTGAAGCTGGGGGGTATCTGGGGGTGGAGGGGGGAAGGGTACTCTTACTACCAGCCCTCTGCCTGTCTGTCTGTGGCAAAAGGTTCTACAACATCAGTTAGTGAAAGGTCTTGATAGAGAATGTCCCCAAGTTCACAAATTAGTCCTTTCCCAGCTGAAAGGAAATTTCACAGTACTTTGGGAGAGCCTTTGTGTACTTGAGGATATCTTTTGTGTGTTTGAAATGTCTCCTTGATTCCTTTGATTTTACACGGATTTAGAGCTAAACCTTTACCACATACACACTATACCACCCTGCAGCTTTGTCGTCGAGTTTGCTCAGTGGCAGTGGAAAATGACATTTTTTTGTCATCTTCTTTACTTTCAGTGTGAAAGATTTATATTAGAAACAGTGAACGGCTATAATTATAGGAAGAAAACCTTGGTTTAGAACATTCTTTTTATTAAGACAAAATTACTTATATCAGTTATATTTAGCTTGCTAGAATAAAATTCTAAGGTATCAAACTGAAGTTTTTAGCATACTCTTAAGAACTAGAACCTGATGCTTGAGGATTTAGGGTTTATGAAGCTTTAGAGCTAGTGATAATAAAGGCTTGAGCAGGCTGGAATTCTTCAAATCAGAAAAAAAGGAATATGGCAGTTCATCTCTAAGCAACAATTAGGCCATCAGAAATGTTGCCCTTTGCAACATCATGTAGTGACCCGGAGGCATCAAGTTAAGTGAGATAAGTCAGGAAGGGAAATACAAGTACCATATGATCTCATATGTGGATTCCAAAACAAAAATCAAAAACAAATCTAAAAGAGAAAAACCAGTCTCATCGATACAGAAAATAGGTTGGTATTGTCACAGATGAAGGGTAGGCAAAATGGGTAAAAAGGAGGTCAAAAAGCGTTAAGTCACCAGTTATGTCATAGCAAGGTAACACAGCATGGTGGCTGCAATTAATAATACTGTATTACACATCTGAAAATCCATTTAAAATCAGAAATAACAAGCTATTTTAACTAGGCATCAGGTTAGCTTTTAATTTTAAATGTTGTTTTTGACTTTAAAATGATGATTTTAAAAGATACTGTGAAGCCAGTTACAAGTATACTGCTTCAGATAAATGTCTGTATGTTTACTAGTAGGGAAATTGTGTGGTATCATAAAAAGAATGGCAACTTTAGAGCCACGCAGACCTAAATTCAACTCCTTGCTCTGCTGTTCCCTAGCTGGGTATCATCGAGCAAATCACTTCTCTGAACCTCATTTTTCTAGTTGTCATGTATATGTGGGAATAACAGTAGTTTCAATATTAGATTAATATAAGTAGATGTGGCCTGCAAATAATAGGAATGGTGGTAGTCATTGCTGGGACTACAACAGGGAAGTGATTATAGAGAAAGGAGAAAGCAGCAGGAATGTTAACGTGGAAGATTAGGTGATCGAAGATCGGGATCCCTTCTGCCTGGCTTTATCTACCTGGTATAATGATACCTCTGTCTGTTTCCAGGCTCTTGTCAAATCTGTGTGGTCTCAGCATTCATGTCTTTATGTATCATTTTCATTGAATATACTTTCTAAGCAATTTGTTTTCTTCAATGTGGTATTTACATGCTCTCCCTATTAACATCAAAACTTTTGTCATGAGGTGCTTCTCTTGTTAACTTCCAGGGAGCTTTAAAAAAGGGCCTATGCCATCTTTTTGCCTCTTTAACTAGGCCAAAAGATAAACCCAGACACTCTGGAGATACTCTAGAACAAGCTTTCTCTGAAGTATTTTGATAGTCTATCTCTTTTGATTTTCTCCTTTCTTAGGACTCCATTTCTAGCATCCCCAAAAGAACCCCCACAAACCAGCCCAATTCTCTGGGTCTATATAGTGGCTCTCCTCTTTTTATTGTCTCTTGGCGCATATGTTCAAATGAGAGTCCTCTTCTAATAGCTTTCCATAATGATACCCACACATCCACGGGAGCTCAGGCTTTTGTGAGCTTAAAAAAAGAGGGAGAGCTTTCCAAAGAATGTGATTAATACTACATCTCTAAGCAAGCAATTAATATCCTATATCTGACACATAGGACTAAAAAATATTGATCTGTATGCCATGTTCCCCTTTTGTGAAAGACACAGTATTACTTCAACTGTTTTTGCTTTAGAGTAAAGAACTGTGTCACTATTCATACAAAAGACCTAGATGCTTCATGGGTCAGAACTGCAGCAATCCAGGAGATATTCTGTAGTTTTTCTCTTTCTTCTTCCCAGCTTTTCTAGGCTTTCTGTATAACATTTCTACATTTCTTGTAAACTGCACAAACTCATCTAGTGCTTAGCACCTAGTCTCTGTTCCCTTAGTGTTCCTATTTTCTTCTGTACCCCATGTGTTTAATCTATCTGTTAAACTCAATGACAGAAAATTAGGGCTGTCTCTTTAAAAACTGAAGGCCATATCCATCAATTTATTCTTGATCAAGTGTATTTGGGAGAGTGAAGGCCTGAAAACATAAGTAAAAACTAAAGGCACATGATGGAGCTGACTGCTGCCTCTCCTGCTGTTGCCAGGCAATTGGTGTAAGAGGTGGTCTTCTCAGCATCCATGGAACTTCCCTTAGTGTAATAAATAATCCAAGCCTTGCCTACCCATGTAAATGTTGTTTGGCATGTCATTCTGTCTTCATGAAGTGGTAGGGATGGAGAAGAAATTTCCCCCTACCCCTCTGAGTTCTTTCATCCTGGCTTGATCAAACAAATTAACATCAGACAGATTCATAGGGAAAAAAATTTAATTAGATACATTTGGAGAATCTGCATGTTTGCAAATTCTGGAATACATAGAGCAAACCAACCATTTTTATCATGAGCTAGTGAACAACTTAGAAGTGTAGGGCATCAATGAGAGAAGAAACAGACTCGTAAGACAAACAAGATGCTCTGAAACAGGATGTTTGCCCTGCCATATACATAGGTTTGTTCTGTATAGGAGAAAGCTTATTTCTGGAGATAACCCTACATTTGGGTAATATATCCCTAATTTTCATTCTTCTAGATATTTAAGGGAGGGTTAATAGTTTTTCTTGGCACCCACAGAGCCTCTATCAACCTTAGCTCAAAATGACCCACATGTCTTAGAAGGCCTATTCTGGACATCTTGGGGAACATATCCTATCCTTCAGTATCAAGGAACTGTTTCTGTTAGGTATTTTTTCCTTCTCTTTAAATTTGAGTATGTTTTCTCAACCTTGTACTTTTAAAAACCATTAAATAATTACTGCCTCACATCTTCTCTTTTAAAAAAGCAAAGGACTTATATAAGCACGTGTTTTATTTGAAGTAATTGATTTTATAATATAAATTGGTATATTTCAAAGTTTGGTTCTTGAACCATATAAATGCCTGGATTTGAAACCAAAATGCCTGTCTCTCTGGACATGGGCCCAGGAATTTGCATTTTAGCAAGCTTTTTCACTTGGTAACATTTCACATTAAAATATATGAATCACTAAAATACCAGGAACTTCATGTATTTTTGAGTGGGAAGAGCTACTTACTTCTTTAACTCTTTTTTTTCCTTAATCAAACATTTTTATTTTTTTCTCAGGAATTTATCCTTTTCTTCGAACAAATTGTCCATTTCTAAACCTATGTTTTTTAATTTTATCAGAAAGATTGCAAGCAAAGAAGGAAGAGGTACTGTAATATATGTGACTTGGGTTAAAATCCTACTGAAATCAAAAAGCTATCCCTTGTTCTATAGAAGCAGAATTGAGAAGGGGTGATGATAATGGTATATGCGGGGACCATTTCCTGGCCAAATGATAAAAAAATCTGACATTACCATTGCCACTTGTCCCCCAAATTAGTCCCTCAAGCAGCCTGGGCCTGCAGTACTATCTTCCATCCTTGTTGAAAGTTGCAAGGGACTTAGAAAGCACTGCTCTGTCACACTAGTTTCTCTGCTCTGCTATCTCCTGCAGATTCACAACTTGGGACCCGCTGACAGTACAGTCCAGTTTATCTTCTATCAGCCTATCATTCACCGATGGCGGGAGACGGATTTCTTTCCTTGCTCAGCAACCTGTGGAGGAGGTAATGGTGTTCACTTAGCCTAGGTACTGTTGGCTTCTGCAACGGAAGACTTGGCTATTATGAGTCACTTCCGCATGGAAGAAATTCAGTGCTGTGATGTATCTGATCCTTCCTTCTGAATGGGGCCAAATTTTGAAGCTCTCCTGGAAGGCTAGGTATCTACCTCAGTTTACATGCACCATCGGACATTTTTTTTTGTAGAGTCCTGTTAGGGAAAAAAATGTCTGTGACTTCTTTCCCTGATGCTATAGAAAGCAAGGATGAAAAGGATGGAATTACCTCAAGACATAGCATAGTGTATTGAGGTAATTCCATCCATTTGAGAATAAGTTACACATGTGGTTGAAACTGAATTTATTTAATCTGAAATCCCAGCGATCCAAAAAGATAAATTCAATAAAAGGAATTAGTTTATTATCAGGAAGAAAAAAAGCACCACTTTGGTGTTTTAGGGTCAATTGCTTTTTGACTGTATTTCATCATCCATGCATTTAAAGGAATTCCACCTGACACTTTGTTCATTAAAACTTTTCTCACCAAATAATTTACTTTCTGCTCTATCATATCCGTATATAGATAGCACTTAGTATTACTAGAATAGGTTTCTTCCTCCCATTTTCTGCTCTTCATAATTTTAATAGTTATGTAATTGCCTTTGAATTATTTCATAAGAATTTATTTAGCCATATCCCTATAGAAATCATTTAGTTCATTTAGACTTTCTTATTATAATGTAATGAATAACTTAATACCTAAGTATTTTTCTCCTTTCAAATTATTTCCTTGAAATAAATTTTTAACAGTGAGTTTTAGAATTGTTGTGGCTGTTGGCATACATTACCAAAATTCTCTCCAGAAGGGTAATAAATAGTATTTGAATATTTTAGTATTGCCAACTGAGTCAGTATTTGTGGATTATCTTTTTTTTTTGGATTTTGTTAATTTAACAGATATAAAATTGGATGTATATTTCTTTAAGAACTAGGGCATAAAATAAATTCTATCTCCAGCTTCATGGAAACCTGTTAGTTGGATGACTTAAGAGTAGCTGATCCACATAGGCATAAACAAATTATTTTGACTATAATGGTACCTCAAAATAAAGACAAGTGATTATCCATTAATTTTTGTAAAACATAAGAACGTGTTATACAAATCTTTCGTTGTGTCATCTGTCAACATAATGAGAACAAATCATCAAAAATGAGATTTTATAGAGCAACATTGGATTTTAGCTTGGAATCGGTCAAAAATCTCATCAAGTCCTTTACTTAATGTTAAATAACTACTAATACATTTTAAACATTTCAGTAAAATAGTGTTTCCAGTTGTTGTATGTATCCTGAATAGAAAATTACTTAAAAAATAAACTTCCAATCACTTTGATTTTTTTGTGTGAACATTTTTTGATATACATACTCATAACTAGCACAGGAACCAGTTTCAAAGAAAGAAATCCAAGGAAATATTTTTTCTTCCTTTTTAAATGAAAACCATTCTTTGTGAGAAGTAGCCAATCAATAATATACCCACTATGTGAGTTTTGCATACCTGCTTCTGGAGTGTAATTTCAGTAATCTTGACAATGGTCTGCTTTATTCTAAGGCAATTAATGTTACATTCATATATATCCAACCCCTTTGGGTTTTCCTTGCATCTAAATGAAGAAGTAAACCATCAGTAGTTTTCAAATGTTTTGAGTTATCAAATATCAAGTATTCAAAGGAAATCTTACTAGAGTGCCAGATAAATGGAATGCTGCTCTGTAGAGATGTGAGTGATCTGGGAACCAGACTTCATGCATCACAGTTTGAAAATGACTGAAGAAATAAGTCTAAGTTCCTTTCACATTTTTGGTTCCAGAGTCAACTGGTTGACCATTAGGGTAAGTGTAAAGAATCACTACTCCCAATAACTTTTGAAATGTTAGGGGGGCTAGGGAGTACCCTACACTTGTATAATGGGAACAACTATATAAACCAATATTAACTCAAAAACTGTTTTTTAAAAAGAATTTAGAAAACACAATTATCTGACTAATTCAGTCACTTCATTTTTGTTCCAAACTTCCACACATTCTAAAATAGCATCAAAGCAATCTCTTAAGGTGATAAATTATAGTTTTTATAAATAATTCTCAGATTTATAATTTGGTTATTGATTGCGCCACATTTTACTGCATTATAAACAATTATAAATTGTTATATGGAAAGTTTTTAAATGATTAGTTCATCATAAAATTATCTGTTTTAGAGTATAATGCAATTGAAAAATGAAAGTATATTTACTTAAATAAAATAGTATTTTACTCTTTGATTTTCCTAATAAGACAAGAAATTAAATGGAACACATGTTCTTACCCAGTACTTTCCATGCTTTTCATCTTTATAGTAAAATTGTTAAAAGCTCTTTTTCTGGTCTTTAATGAACAATTAATTTTTGTGGGTGGTCTGAGAAAATAGCCTATAGCCAGGAAATCTGGTTTGTAAACCTCCTTCTATTTCCTAAAATCTTTTGCAAGATTTTGACTTTCTAACCTATGTTTAACAATAATAATATTCAACCACCTGCCTGGGACGATATATTTTGGAGATTGGGTAGGGTTAAAAAGATACCAAAAGCCTATTTTTAGGAAATTCTCTATGCATATTTACTTTTTACCACAAGAATGTAAGTCCTCATCACTGCTACCCCTAAAATTCTACAGGACAAGAAACAGGTAGGAACAATAAAACATAGTGTGAGTGGCATTAACTCAACAGCACTATTTTTTTTTTTAAGAGAATTCTCTAAGCAATAGAATTTTGTGCATGGGAACTTCAGAAATATTAGCTAGAGACTTAAGAGAACTGAGAAAAGATTTTGGGTGAAGCAAAAATTAAATAGTAGGACTTTTTTTTTTTCCTATGTGGAAACTCAGCCTAATACATTCAGGTTGGATTTAAGCAAAAATAATGTTCCCAGGCAGCTGACAAGACCTGATCCAGTGTGTATGTCATTGTCCCCTACTGGCAAAGGGGAGATGTGTTAGGGCTTATTATTTTGGGTGTTGACTGACCCTGCTACCCCAGGTACAAGGGAAGCAAATTGGTGTCTTTGCATGAGACAGTTGATTAATAAATATGTTGATCTTTTTTGGAAACAGAATCCTCATTTAGGTTTTTAGATATGATAAAATAAATAAGGATAGTTCTTACCACAAAGTGTTCTAATCTAGCTATGCCTTTCCATAGTGCAAGCCCTATGGTAATAATTTATTAAAAATTTTAGTGGATTACTAGCAAAAGGCACAGTATTTAAGGCCTGCAAACATGAGTGAGCCTTCCATTTATCTGTCTTTTGTCCTGGAAATGACTGGAGCACTGGGGAAGGATTTGCATTAATGTGAAGTAGTAAAAAGGCAGAAAGAAATATATTGGATTGACATGTGCATATGAACTTGCCTGGATGGTTTGGCATTGCAGGTTACCAGCTGACATCAGCAGAGTGTTATGATCTCCGGAGCAACCGTGTGGTTGCTGATCAGTACTGTCACTATTACCCAGAGAACATCAAACCCAAACCCAAGCTTCAGGAGTGCAACCTGGATCCTTGTCCCGCCAGGTCAGTCCAATTTACTAGTTTGTTTATGATAAACATAAATCAGGTTCTAAATAAGCTTCTTAAATTTTTTAAATTAAAAATAAATGTTGCTGTCCAGTGCCCATCCCTAACTACCTGTTATTAGTACCCATGCCCTTTGTTCTTGTTGCATTATCAATGCTATTTGGGGGGTCAACAGACTTTCCATTTGTAAAATTACAAATGAAGCACTCTTTAGAGTCATTTTCTCTTCCGATTTCCTTTCATTCTGATTACTTATTTATCTCCAGAACAAGGCCCAGGTCAATGGACCTTAACAAATGGGATGGCACAATATTCTCAGGATTCTTTCCATCTTAACTCTGTCACCTGGTCAGTGACATAATCAGAACAGATCATAATCCAGGGTCACAGTTGGCCCATTTGAGACTCGAGTGGTCCTCACTGAGTAACCAGAATCAAAACCAGTCCTAGAACAGCTTCTGCAGTTGAATAAGTTCAGTTTTTGCTAGAGAAAGAACTTACTTCTATTCAATTTTTTAAGCTATTTTAATTAAAGGTATTAAAGAGACACTTGACATTTTCTCCTATCTTTGCTTTTGAAAGCCAGTTAGTCCTCAAATTATTTGCAAGATCAAGAATTAGATTAACAATGGAAATATCTCAGGTGACAAGGAGTCATAAAAGTACAGGTCAACAATCTTTTCATTAGCGTAACCTTTACCTTTTTATTACACTTCCTTGTAATTCTCCTTATTAATTAGCTTGCGCATTCTAAATACATGAGAAAGAATAGAGGAAAACCTACCCCACAAACCTAATTAGGAAGACCAAAAGATAGACTCCTTTCTCAAGATCCTTGGAGTTCTGAGAAACACTTCAATTTAATTTTTTAAATTATAATTTAATTATGCATGTGATACTCATATATGCATAAAACAAAGTGTTGAATAAAACTATCTGAGCAATATGGATGAAAAGCATTCTACCTTTGAATTATAGGCAATGCAATTCTGGTTTTTATTTTTTCCTGTCAGTTTTTTTAAAGTTCATTTTCTTATAGTCTTTCTGCCTTCCATTCATGAATTCTAAATTCTACATGTAATGTGAAATTGCAATAGTTAATTAGCTTATAGGAACCATATTTCTTAGCTCATAAAAGTGAACTCAGAATAACAGGTTTTCATTAAAGGAAAAGAAAGAATAGATATTTTGTAATTATAAAACTTAGGTGAAGTTTAGCTTAGCTTCATATTACACCAGAAATTTACGTCTGAAAAATTGGATCTAGTATAAAAGCTAAATGAGGTGTTAAAATTTTGCTTGGACTTTTTTATTTTGGAAATATTAAGAATATGAAGTCTGTTTAGCCAAGATAATTACAACTCATGCAATTCAATCTCATTTTAAAATTATATTGCTTATTATACATTTTACTCCTATCTCTACCACAAAGACCAGTGAGTGAAAAAGCAAGTCTGCTTAGCTTTGGGATAATGTGAAAGTTTTATACGCACGTCTATGAAAACGTGTGTATTTCCAGGAGAAATGAGGGATTTGATTACTATAATTGCATAAAGCTTTTCCCCACTCAGAAAAAGCTTCAATGAGGAAATGATCATGGAAGACAATTGTGAAAAACATTTTGTTAACAATTTTAAGAAAATGCTTATAGTCAGAAAAAATGACTAACTCATTTTTTCTGGCATTTGATTTTTACCTTTCTTTTCAGTTTGAGTAATATTTTTGGCCTATTTCTTATTATCCAAAAGCAAAAGGCCATTCTATATTCAAAGGACTTCCCTCTGCAATGTATGTTTTTTCTGTGTCCTGTGTTATTTTAAAGCATCTAATAGAGTACATGTATAAATGTTAGGACAGGTGGCTATTTAAAAAGAGAAAAGTGAGAGAAGGAGAAATTTAAAATAAGCTAGAGGCAAATGTCAGGAAGCTTTTTAAAAAATTTTTATTACAGAGGTAATTAGAGAAAGCTGTAAAAATTAAGACTTAACCAGTAGGAGAGATTTAAAAGGAAACTGCTTTAGGAAATGTAGAAATGCTACTCTGAGGTTATGATTCTCAGGCATTGCTGTGAAATTCATTCAACTCATTTGCATACCTGAGATGAAAGCAACATTTCTGAACTTTATGGAAAAAAATAAGAGGCAATGGTCTAAGAAAAGAAGATAAAGAGATTCCATCCTCTCATGAGATGGAGCAGAATCAAGTCTTCAAGGAAGTTTTTCATAACTATAGATTTAATTGTCTAAAATCAAGAGCAACACAGTGACAGTAAATCAGTGCCTTTGTGTCCAAAATTAGAAATCCCACGAAGCATAAACATTGATGTTTTTAGTACAAAGCTACATATTTTTTAATTTAAAAAAAATTATTCTAGCCATGGAGGGATCTGTTCAATTTTATTAGACTAGGATTCTTGGCCTAGTTGCTATTATTTGAAAAACAAAATTCCATTCTCATAGCTAAGTATATTAACTGTCAAGACTGGGAAGGACCATGGACAGCAAAAAGGGCATTAAATAATTAAGTCTGCAACCCTAGGTTTATTACTTTAGCCTTCTGGGCCTCACTTTTCTCACCCACAAGATGGGGGTGAGCAGGTTCTTCTTTGCCTTGAATTAGTGATTTTCAATCAGTTGTTCACTAAATGCCATTTTACATATATATGTATATATATAATAGTATTTTTACACAATAACTCAAAAGTATATTTGTACATGTTTAATTTTAATTCATTCAAGTTAAATTGGAGAAATTGTGTAACAAATCCTAAAAATTTTTACTACCAAAGTGAAAACTTTTGTGGTCATAATTCAGTTCTCCCATATGTCTATTTAATTGAAAAAATTGAGTATCCTAAGATAGCAAGTTGATCTATAGAAACAGTTACCATTATCAACTACATCTCTCTGATAATAAAAATTTTCTCATTACTATACATCTAAAGTCAAAACAAACCTGAAATAGATTGATATGCAGCCATTAGCCATCATCCTTGAGATCTAATTTTTCTGTTTAGCAAAAGAGCCTCATTGTTCTCATTATTTTGTTATATAAAAAGGAAATATATATTAGAACTAATGCATGATGAAACATCACTCATTTCACTGACCAACAACATCTACTGACTTCCATGCTTGTGGATTGGCTCATCTAGTGATTCTTGGGGCTAAAGAGAGTGTTGACATCTACCCTATACTTTTCAAAATAATTCTTATATTTTTATAATTTTTTATTCTAAAGGCTAACTAATGTTGATGAGTTATAAGGCTACAGTAAAAACAATAAAACTCACTGATAATCTCCTTCGTCCACAAGAAACCACTGTTAATGCTTTTGCTTTACTTCTTTCCAGTCTGTAGTTCATAACATAACTCATACTATGTATGTACAGTAGACACTTGAAAGTTAATGATTTAGTATTCTTGGTTTCCACTCTTCTAAAGCAAACCTGAATACCCATGACATGCAAAACATGACATTTGGCTGAGACTAGAATTTGAGTATCTTGCTCTACAAGACCAACAATTGAGCCCAGCTTACTGCCCAGCATTTCTGTCCCTAGAGGGCTGTGTTGCTCTCTGCTGGTGTCATTCATGCAGCCATTTTTATGAAGTGATAAAATACTGTTTCCTAGCCTAAAGGGCCTCAGAGAGGAGGCCAAAATGTAATGCCTATTGAACTAAGGGATGGAAGGGAAGAGAAGTTAGGTTAAAATTTTAAAAATTTTTAAGTAAATGTTTTTCATTGGTGACTCACAGCTGTGACATCACTGGCTCCATTATATGGTTGCTGCCTAGTAGAGTGTGTTGTGATTACAGTCCCAACATGACACTCCCAGAAGTCCAGAGGCATGTCATTTCATTTTCTCATGACCTGCTCCATGTTTCACTTATTTTCTGCTTCATCCATTGAACACTCTGGTGTGAACCTTTTCCAATGTAGATAAGACACTTAGGATCTATACAAACGTGCAGTCCTCTCTTGTGTCTGTCATGCTGTAGTTATAGCTTCTGTCTTCCACCAGGAAGAACTATTTTTTAATGCAGCACCTTTGTGCAATTGTCTGTGTCATCTTTGTTTCTCAAGACCAGAAAGTCTCAAAATGTATGTCTGTGGTTCAGCACCAACTGAACCACAAAAGGCTTAGTTTTAGTTCAGCTAATAAGCACCTTATGTTTTCAGAGTACTTTTAAACGCAAAATATGCGACATTTGGCCTTGCATATCAGTCTGTAAGACTGGTAAGGCTGTTAAGGCTGTCTGGGGAAAATTGTGCAAGACATTGTTTGTGAGAAGATCAGAGAACCACCTTTTCAGATTTTTTTTGGCACAGAACTCTAGTTTTCCCTCCAAGGCAGTAATGAAGGGGGCTTAAATTGGCAAGAGTTGGACAAGTGTAAAAAGTTCTCACTCATCACACTATCATGGTCACAGTCATTAGCAAACAAGTCTGTTTCTAGCTGAAACCGCATCCAGATTCCCCCTTCCCTCAAGGAATTCAGAGCAATGAGCAATGGTCCTAAGCAGATGCCCAAACTTGTATGCCCCAACTAGCAGGTCTTGGTGAGTCCAAGGGACTTTGTCCAGTACCATTTAATTTGACAGCCTGGTGGGTAGGAGGAAAGATCACTCGTGAAACAACCTGGCTTGGGATCCCAACTCTACCTATTTACTGATTGAATAGCCCTATTCTCACTAAGCCTAGTTTTTTCATCCTATGAAGGATACTAACAATATCTGACCTCAGAGAGTTGTCATGAGGAATGAATGAATGGTGCTCTAGCTTTAAAGAACTTAACAGAGTGCCTGACACCCGATAAGCACTCGATAAATGTTAGTTGCTGCAGCTCTCGTGACTCAGGTTATAGTTATGGTGACTTTAACATTATCTCAGAGAAACTCCTCAACCCTGCAGAAATCAGCTTTCTAATCCATGGAAGGAAAAGTTAGGACTCTAGAATTCTGTTTTAGTATAGAAACTTCTCTGTTGTTTCAACA